ACTGTCCTTTAAATCCTTATTTTGGCACTAGAATCCCAAAATTGCTACTTTCTTAAAAAAAAAAAGAAAAAAAAAAGAGTAGTTTTACAGTACATGATATTTGCAATCTACTCTATAGGACCAGGTGAGATTTTATCTACCGCAGAATACTGCCCATCTAGTACATTTCCATACTTTGTGAAGATAATTCAAGTGTATATTGAAATCTGGTTGCACTAATTGACAGAGCAAATTACTTCTGGAATGGTATTTCCAAAGGGCCTCTGAATTTATTCCTTCAATTTTACATGCATGGGCTTCCATACCTTTGTGAATTTAACGTTTGTGTACATCACTGTGACATTTCCTAGCATTTGAAGAACAATTTCAAAGACTATTTTTTGCACATGTGGTATTAGGACATTTTTGTAGAACGGATTTTTAGAAAACTCATTTACATTCTGCACATTTGGCTGTCTTGGTACCTTCATCCTACTTTCAAGTACTTTAATCAAAATTTTAACATGGAATTTTCTTAGAAGAGAGGCTGAATCCCAGACACAAAACTGAAAAAGAAGGAAAAAAATATAAAATTCTGCCTCGTTTTCTATGCGTCCTTTCTGTTCTTCAGAGAAGGAGAAGTGTGAAAAATTTTTGACCACAAATCCAAATATTACCCAGCAATTTCGTAAAATCTCACAGACTAGGTTCTGAAAACACAGCACCCACAAAAAAACCCCACACCACCGGAGACAATTGATTAATAATGAGCTCGGAAATACAAATAAATTTACTTCTAATGAAGACTGGAGACACAGTAATCAAAGTGTTAAAAATTCATTTCATGCACATCTCATTTGCCTCTTGGCTGATATTTATCACATAATTCTGTGAGAAACTAGAGGCCTAAGATGCTTCAGATAAATGTCTCAATTAATTGTACAGAGCTAGCCCTCTTTGAGCTGAACCAGAGCCGTGAGCTCTTTATTAAAAGCACTATTCTGTAGCCTGTAACCTTGTTCCTTGACTCCTCTCTAGTTTCCAATTTAAACAAGTCCCCATGCGGCCTGCTCTAAAGGGCTTTGTCTCCCTGTCATTGTTAAGAGAGCCGAGGCATCCTGGAAGTGTGAAATCAGACCTCATGAGCTGAACGGTTCCCCAGGGAACGCCGGACCGCGCCGAAGGTCAAAGTCATGGGCTGGACCATCTGAAAGCGCCTGATCGCCAGCTTGTGACACGGCGAGTGGGGTGGGGGCAGGGGAGAGGGAGCTAGGATGGAGCACATCTTAATTAAAGCCCGTGGACAGCAAAACAAACTGTTTTCTGGGTACGCCGTGACACGCCGCTTGGATTCCACTCTACTAATGAACCTGAGTTGCTTCACCATTTATTCCTTAAAATAAGTTGGCCAAACCTGCGGCGCATCCTTTCCCATCCTGTGCACTGCTTGGCGGAGGTTTTCAATTTTATTTATTAAGCTCCTTATTCAATTTTAAGTTCTTTACTCAACTTTATTTATTAAGATCTTTACCCTGAGGGTGGTGAGGCACTGGCACAGGTTGCCCCAGGAGGCTGTGGATGCTCCATCCCTGAAGGTGTCCAACGCCAGGCTGGATGGAGCCTTGAGCGACTCAGTCTAGTGGGAGATGTCCCTGCCCGTGTAAGGGGGTTGGAACTGGATGGGCGTTGAGGTGCCTTCCAACCCAAACCATTCTATGCTTCTATGATTCTGTGCCAGGAGGAAAACTCCACACACCACACCCTGCTACACCCTGCTGGTGGAGGACTATCCGTGTCCAACCTGGCACTGCATCATTGCTTCACAAAACTCATACAGGTCAGGTAGGCAAGAGCACATATTAATTTCAGAAGCCAACCAGCACTACAAGTCCATCACACTTCACATTTTACAGCATGGTTGGGATATTTCATCAGGTAAAAGGACATCAACGTGGGCAGAGATGGCAGCCCATCCCTGGAGAGGGCCGCATGCCCTCCGGAGGGAGCATGTGGAGAGTTCAAGGTGCAACCCCCTTTAGCTGAGGATCTAGGGAGGAAACGGCCTTGAGCTGAACAGCTAAAACACAACAGAAGGTTCAAATGAAACTTGCACCTCAGGAAGAGAAGGAAAAAGCAAACACCACACTCAATGTCATCCCCCCATTTGTTAGATTTTAGTTTTGAAAAAAAATGCACTAAAAAAAAAATATACCTCTTTTCCAGGAAAGGGTACTTGCTATGAACCAATTTCTAACAGAACATAACTTTGCATTGGTGAGAGCCCTAAAATCGTGTTCTGACCATGGAAAGATGCTGTTTCTCTATCCTCATAGACCTGGCAATCCTCTCAAAGGCCTCAGACCTGGAAGACACCCTATTTTTTATCTCTCCCCAAAATCAGGGTGGGCTTTCAAGGGTTGATGGGCAATCCCTCAAGCCCTTCGCCACCCTCCCTTTCCTTGCAAGCCGGCTAATCGAGAAGTCTTTGTTCTTTCCCAGGTGAGTTTCAAAGCCAGTGATCACACCTTCCAGCAGAATTCTGTTTTCCAACTAGTAGTGCCCTCTTGCTCCCCTGCCCACAAGTTCACCCAAGCATCACCCTGCTCTGGCATCTTATTCCACATGTGGATGTCCTAGGAGGAAAACTGAGGTCTGAATCATCACTCTTAATTTTAATTTATTTTTTTAAAATAATCTACACTAACCTTAACTATTTGAAGTGTACCATCCGAGACTGGGCTATTGAGACTGGGGGAAAAAACTGCCCTCGACTATCAACAGTTTATTAGGGGCTTAACTGAAGTGACCTACTGTAGCAGCATTCAGCTGAACACGGCTACGGGCTTTCTGTGGAAAGGAAGAGAATTGAGGGTTTCATTAAATAGTAATTTGTGCTTTTTACTCATTCATTCAACGGGCGTCTCAATTGCTCTTTATTCATACAGAGTTAACACAGTATTACAATGCTGCTCAATGAATGTATGGTAACAAAAGAAAAATTTCACATTTTGAAAGGGAAAAAAAAATCCTTGCGACTGTAGTAAGATTGATGACTACTTAAAAGATTACAGAAATCTTTTTTCTGTCTGTGCTTATGCTTAATGATTGAATATTAAGGATTTTTAAAATCCATTCAGCCCAAACTAATAAATTTGGATTTATTACCTCACATGAAAAGATTCCTGAACGTGAAATGGGATATGTTCAGCAGACAGGAAATAGAGCACACTACACAGGTACTACACAGGTGTTTCATCTACTTTTCAGACTCAGGTGAGGGCAAAAGATCAATTCTGAAAAAACAATGTAGTGAGAAGAGCAAACTAGTTCTTAGCTTCTACCTACACAAGAAATCCTTAGTCGTGCAAGTTATAGCACCGACAACAGCGTTCTCCGCCCTGACTAGTAAGTATTGACCAGCTGAATGAAGGTTTAGGGTCAAATTCTATAGAATTTTTGCAAACGAGCTTTATTGACAATCGCCAAATAACTACTCCGAGCTATTTCTAAATGCTACTCTTAAAATTTTGATCTGAAAATAATTCTCTGTTCATACGCACAAGTTACTAAAACCAGCTATAAATTACTTCAGTAGTTAATAAAACCACTTTGTCATCTTTTCAAAATATCAGGCACTGTTGTCCGAAAAGTACACAATGATTTCTCTAACACCTGGAATGCACAGCTATCTCACAAAGTATATCTGCCATATAAATAATTTTTCTTGCTACTGAATAAAGTACGAAGGACACAGAAAGGTACTGAGTGTTCTTCCCCATCTTCCTGACCACCGTTTTAAATGAAAATGTCTGAAAATTTTTGGTAGCTCTGTACATCTTTAATTGAATCAAATGTATTTCCAAAAAATTTGTTCAACCAGCACAAATGACATGTTGATCTGGAAAAGTTGAAGACTGAACGAGGTCAGGGACTGAATTATCCCATTTGCCCCTGAATAACTTAATCTCTCTCTCTGTTCAGACCACATTGGATTATAAGGTCAAAGCCGAGTGAGGAATCTTTAGAAGCTTTTCTCCAGCCTCCCCAAAAAATAGAATCTTATTCTGTGTGCCACAAACTGGATGATCGGTTTCAGAAATAAAATGTTTCCTCTCTTACTTTGTCTGAGGGAAAAAAATAATACTGGTACTCCTGTTAATTTACAGAAAACTATTAAGAAGTGGGTATGTTGCTATATATCTACATCTGCTCTTGTAACAGAACATTTATGTCCACATATTCCGAAATATAGTTTCTTTTTTCTTCTTTTTTTTTTTTTTAAAGCAGAAAAGGCTATTTTCTGACACAAAGCATCTCATTTTGCTCCATTCAGTTTGTGCAGTGTGAAGATGATTACACTTGCAGGAGATAACGTGGACATTTCTGGAAAAATATGGTCAGTATGGCTGATTATTTTTTTATTTTATTTTGAAAAGCAAAAGGTTAAATTATGCATTCAGCTTATTTTGCATCAAATAGAAAATAAAAAGGTATTTTCTTATATCTCTTCTTAAACAGACAAGCAATATTTACAGCAAAGTGCATTTATTTGAAATGTCTGAAACCATAAGCAGCCTTACTAAATATCTGACAGATATCAAGCGTTTCTTTTGGCAACAACTTCGAAGTAGTATCAAAATCCAGCACCTTTCATTTTTCTTGTCTTCTGGAATTCAGTTTTAATTTGGACAATTTTGTACATTTTTTACCTACTAGAAACATTAGTCTTTCCTTTGTCTTTTTTTTCCCAGAACTTAGGATGGAGAAAAATGTGTATGTCACCTTTTCGGACAAATAGCCCACGCAGGGCTCTACTAACATTAGAATTACTTGCTCCCTTGCTTACAGAAGTTTTGCTGGTTTGCCTGAGGATTTTTTCTTTAAAGAGCAGAAGGCAAGACTACACAAACAGACAATAATCTTTAGGTAAACTTCTGGTTTAAACATATGGTTTTTTCACTTCTAAAAAGGCCCAGTCTTACTACGGCATTTACTGTCACAGAAATTAAATGAATCCTTGCCTGTAACATCAGCTGCCATCAATGCTTCTGCCCTGATGACCTTCACCTGAAGAAATCCCACATCCTTCATGTTATGGAACATCGTCATTGGACTCTAAAAAAAATAATAAAAAGAAAAATATTTCTGGGTTGCAAAAGAGACAAACCAAAAGCAGTATTAATAGCTTCCTCTCCAGTCCAGATATGTTAGTGTAATCCTGCCTCATGCACTCCTATTTTTAAACATTATTTTCTGAATAATGTGCTGTTGTCAGTGCTCCTCTCAGTATTTTGCAATTTTAACTTATCCGTGAAAAATACAAAGGAAAAATTGGAATATGAATGATTAAATTCAACACTGATTCTACAGAATTAATGCCCTAATAGTAAATGAACTGTCCATAAAAAAAAATGAATTATAGCAGTGTATTAACAAAATTAATAAAAATTAAACACTTTCTCTCCCTGCATACTTTTGCCAGATTTATGTTCACATTTTCGCTTTGATAGTTCAAATAGTATTTTGAACAGTGGCTTAGGATCAATACTGGATTTGTTGTGACTGACCATTGCATGCAAGTTTGCATATAGCGTGTATGCACATATAAGGTTGCATATAGCTTGCAAATAACATGAGGAAAAAAACCAGGATTATAAAAGTTAATAATTTTCAGAATAGTCACTTGCAAAAGAAGATTAAATTAATTAAAAGATAGTTTGTTCCATGGCAGAAAGCTCATATTGTTTTTGGTGGTTTTTTTAAGATAAATTCCTGCAATATGGACATATATTAAAAAGAGGAATTAAAAATTAAATTCTGGACTAACAGTTGTATCTATTTACCCAACATAGTTTTGTAAAGATGCTTGGAAAGTGTGTTCTCTCGCTGCTTTTTTTTCAAATAACTAAAAGCAAGGAGTGTTGCACCAGTTAAACATGATATGCTAAAACTCTCAAGCTCAAATTTCTAATATAATTTACAAGTTACAGAATTTCAAATGATAGAACATCGAATGCAACTTTGAATCCACAATCAATTAATAACAAATCTGGCATTATCATTCAATTTTTTGAGAACCTAGGGGAGGAATTCTGAAAGTGGAGACTAAAATAAATTTTCAAATCAATTTTAAATGACATATGTACGTGGCCTAATTTTTGGCTATTTTTACAAGGCTTGTTCATAAATACTATCATGTACTTTCTTTTTAAGTACTTTAAAATCTGGATTACAGCATTTAATGCCCGTGGCCTTTTCTAACAATTTAACACAGTACAGGTGAAACCTTTTCCACTGCTTACAATAATGTGCAGATTTCAAGAAAACACAGACATCAGGTAAAAGACCAGGTCAACAACTCTTTAATGTGTTAGGAAGGCAAAATCGACTGTCATGGAAAACCAGAACAAGTAGCATCACCGCTCTGAAAAAAACCCCACAGGTGCTGTTTAAATGAAGTATTTAAATGTCAGCTTGCAAAAACGGCAGGATGTTTACGCATAGATGACCTATCCATTAAAACGTTAGGCACAAAATATGCATCTCTCCCTTTCTATTAAAGATTGGAACAGTTAAATGATGATCTAATTTCACAAGCCCCATTTTACTGTTTTTGGTGAAGGTTTGGCCTTGGTGTACTGAACTGAGGAATCCAGTTCAGTGTGGTGCCTCACAGGCTACCCACATACAAATACACGTGTGCACATCATCACAGGATAATTATTAACTGATTTTTAGCATTTGGAATATGTTAATCACCAAAACAGAGATTAAAAATACTGGTGGTCAACTCCCTGCCTGTGTGCTTACCAGCTGAGGGTGGAAGGGACGGTGTTACAGAAAGCAGTGCTGTAATTCTAAAGCATTTAAGTACCATCCCTCATTTATTATGAGGATGAAGGTTTTGGAACCTTCTTACCAGAACTGGTACTGCAACAGTGATAATTCTGCTCTAGTACTATGATGAAAATAAAAAGGATTTACAGAAATGTTCCCACGTTTTACCCAAGTATCCCAATGACCAAAACAAACATCAAAGCTGAGGAAGGAAAACAAAGGAAAATCCAAGCACAGAGCAAGGCAAGCCACTGCTCCCCTTCTTGCAGTGCCAGGAAGCCCCCCTTTTCTCCATATTTTATCGCCAAAAGGCACCAGTGCTGTACTGCACTCTGCCACCTTTGTTAGCATCCCGCAGGATAATTATTTTTGAAATTTTAGTTCCAGTAAGTCAGCCACCTTAGATTCATTTACCACACATCACAACGGCGGAGACTGCTGAAAATGTATACAATGCCATGGCGGAGACTCTGGGAGAAGCAAATGATTTTAATGCGTTACTTTAAATACATAACTTTAAGTAATGATTTATCAGATGATTTTCTGCCTTCTTATTTATGATTATTGTTGAAGGCCTCAAAACCCACATGGTTTCTGAAGCCTGAAATTTCCATAGCAGAGGAATCTGTGATTTGCTGTGAATCTTTTCAGCCCTCAATAGATGGGAAAAGATTGAAATGCTCTGGAGATGAGTCCTCTTTATTTTTTTAATGAAAGGCTGTATAATATATTTTCTGTATGGCTGCAGCAGCTGTCAGGGAGAGCATCTCAGTTCAGCTCTATTATGGGAGAAGCAATACCCCATCCTATGGCATCAAGATACACTGAGGGGCCAGTGCTGATTGACAGCTTGTCACCATGACGTCTTATTCCATCTCTGTTATGGAGAAAATTAATGTCATACCACCAGCCTTATGACTCGCTGTCATCTTAGAACTGCTCACCTTTTATCAATGCTCTAAATAACATTTCAAGCCCATCGTCTCACGGTGGACAATCTGGTCAAGGGACATTAAATCGGATGACTGTGAAATGTCATAATAAAAATGGAATGCTAACAACTTCTTCTCTAAACTAGCTCCTCTGGTTTTTAAACTGTGACAAGGGGGACCGTGGGTTCAGCACACCCGTTCTGAAAAGGTCATACAATCTCTCTTGGTCTGCACCCATTAATGCGCCCCCCTCCTCACCCCAAAAGGAATTAATCTTTTCAGACAATTGTGGTAAAATAATGGTTCAAACAGTAATGCCTGTTTAATTTGTAAGGCTCTGATGTTCAGCTACAAATGGTTAAATGACAGTAATAGAGTCATTTTCCAAAGCTATTTGATCCGATGGCAAGGTCAGCTCATTAACTGTTTTTGGCTGCAGAAAGGGTGCAAAATACATTTCAGATGGGAGCTATATTTTTTTTTAAGAGGACAACAAATAAACCCCAAAAATAGAGCCACTCAAAGGTGAACAGTAGGTCTTGCTAATCATATACTCTTTCTCTGTACTGGTTCTGAAGTAGAGATATGAATACCAAAGACAAATCGGACATCAGTGAAAATAAACTATTTGAATTTCATTAATTCTTGTCATTTCTTCCTTCCACTGTCCACTGGTCATTTCAACAAAACCAGTGAAATTTATCAACAAGGTGTATCGATGCTGCAGCTTTCAAAAACGCATAATGAGAAATTCGTGCCTGTGAAGTATGAACATCTTCCAAAAATATATATGGTTGCAAACGCATACAGTAATGTAAATGTAAGAGAAGACACACATCAATGAATATGTAAGAAATGAAAATAAATAGATCAATCTTGCACCACGTAATTATGCTTCACTCTGGGGACAAAAACCTGAGAATTTAGGAAAACCGATTAATAATACACAGTCACAACATGTTTCTGTTTTGCTACTAAATTATCAAAACCATCAGTATCACTTCACCACCATATCTGCACACACAATAATCCACAGAAATATGGTATTGTTGCACTTGGTAGCAAGAAGCATGTCACCTCAAAAACTTATCCATCAGCAATTTATTATATTTATAAAGATCTATTCTGACAATCACACACTGTCTTGGCAGATCCTAAAATGTGCAGCATCTCTCTTAATTGTAATTATTTTTCAAAGGTGGTGCACAATACCTTAGCTCTCAGTTGGTTTAGGAATATTATGTTTAGCCTCACTAAGTCACCTCTATTAAACTGTGTTTATGATAACACTATTGGTGTATGAGTTGTACAAGCATTAGCAGACAGCTGATTCAGTGGAGATAGCCAGAATAAATTTGCTGAAGCGCACATCCTGCTAATCTATTTGAAGAATATTGTACAGCATTAGTACTAGCACTTCATGTTATCTGCACAGCCTGATAAGGTACATCTTTATTAAATTCAGTTATTGAAAGGATGTCAGTCACGGAATAGGAATATTTTAAAATCTAAAAAAAAAAAAAAAATTAAGCGTCTCTTTGTTAGTCAGAGCTTGGTTTAATGGCTGAGTGTCTAGAGAAGTCTTTCTAAACACCTGGCAGCATTGTACAATAAAAGCTTTGTAATTTTAAGTGGAAATAGCTCTCTTTTTTTTTTTTTTTTCTTTCTCCCTGTGTAGTGAGACAGTTACTTTTAGTGATTTAGGTATTAGCAAATGTCGGAGTAAGAGCTCCCCTCTCTGTTGGTTTGATAAAACTGCACAGATTCTATGTAACATGAGGATGCTGGGAAATGAAAATAATTTGCTTCTGAATATTTTGAGACAGAAATATTACTTAAAACGATTATTCTGATGGTACAAAACACTGCTCCAGCCTCTAATGTGCAGTGAAAAAAATACATTTTCTTGCCCTTTAGCAGATACTTAAAAAAAGGGGCCAAAAACCTCAAACTACTGGCACTCACTAGAAACTGTAGTCACTGTGCGACCCCTTAGTCATTTCGTGCTTGGTAAAATTAGCTTCTTTATATTACATGGTCACATCAAATAGATGAATTACCAGGTAAAAAATAATTTACTGTATACAGAGAGCTTGTAGCCTTCTTGATGTTACCTGTTCCAGCCGTGACAATATTAGGCTGAGTGTGATGAGGATATAAGGGAAATATTTCCCCTCCTGTTACTACACACGTAAACAAACATAGGGCAAAAGAGAAGAGCTCCATACATATCTTCTCAGGATCTCCTCTCGCTCCTTCTGGTCCTCCAGGGAGCTGACGGAGAGGTCAGAGATTGTGACAGCAGCTGAGGCTGTGAGAGTGACCAGCAACACCAAGCATCCCTCTCCCTCCTCCAGCGGCATCTCCAGCTTGTGGGTTTGCTCTTTACTCAGGGTGGACAGGTCAACCTGGCACCTGGAAACAAAAACATTCTCGGTCATCATGTGGTCTTCCTCACATTGGACAAGAGTAAGTCAGCCAGAGAAAACAGATCAGATGTTCCTTTCCAGCTTCTGGAAGAGTTGCTCTTCAGCTTCAACTCATCAACCTCACTTGGCTTTTTTTTTTTTTTAACCGCTACAATCAGTTGTGCATATGAACAATAAAGATATTGCTTTTTATTACAGTAATACTACAAAGAACATACGGATGATAGGAAAAGGATTAGCTGACATGTCATGCTCGAACCCAGTCAAAGAGAATTTAAAAACTCCAGCTTCACATGCAGATTGTACTTTTTAATTACACCTCCTGTACAAAATAACCCCCTAAGATCTGAAGTGGACATTTTTGATACCACACATCTAACAACAGTAAAAGTCCTCTCTTAAAAAAAATAAAGAAAAAATATGTGCAGGCTTAATTGTGACAGAGTTAACATGACTGAGCATAGAAGTAAAAAAACCCCACGACCTGCGCACCACCCTAAAGGCTCAGTTCTCCTGCAGTAATCTGTGCGTGGCTCAGGGTCAAAGCTTAACCCAGGCACCCAGGATAAATCTGATACCCCAACCCCCTTTATAATAAGACAGCTCACGTCGTAATGAGCAGTGACTGCTTATAACTGCACAGGGTGGCTGAAGACAATCCACCCTGCCTGATCCCTTCCTCAATAACCCTGGCTGTACCATGCACTGAAATAATGAAGAACGGGCTTCAGCCAGCAGAAATAGCTTTGCAACATCTTTGGTTTTTTAAAAAAAAAAGAAAACAGGGTAGAGCATATTAGGAAGGATGGTATCATTGCTAACAAAGAGCTGACCATAAGCTTTTAATTAAAACAAGAATACCTTAGGGTTAGTAATTAGTCTGTGCACAGCTTAGAAGTTTTAATATTTTAATTTGTACAATTAAAAAATTTCAGGCATCCTAGACCGCAACTCCGACCATGTCTGAAAATTCAGCGCCTGTATCAAATGTCATGCCAGCCTGCAGTGCACAGGAATTCCTGTGTAAAAAGCACTGTTTGGAATATTTCTATTAAGAGTATCCCCTGCTAATGTTCTGCCACTGTATTAGACAAATAATAAGAATTCTGAAATAAAGTAAATGAGCATATACTATATATAGTTAAGCCAGTGAATGCTCTACTTCTAACAGCAATTATTTAATCTGACAAGCACACGTTCTACATGCCACTCTCACTAAACTAAACATCTAGTAAACTATTTTCATAAAATGTCAATTGATTTTGAAGAGAAAGATAATGTGGTGACCACGGGGCCAATAAACCGAGAAAAAGGTGGCAGACATGAATAAACAGGCATTTTAGGACAGGAAATAGCCAGTTAGGAGAATAAGTGCAGCCTCATAAAATGGGCACTGGGCTATCACGGCCAGATTAGATTTGCTACAGGAGTATTTCCTTTTAAATTTTTTTAAAAATATTTACTGTCTGTTGTGTAGCCATCAAAATTAAACTACTGCAAAGCTCATACAGTAACAAGATTCAATTATTTTACAATGGAAAAAAAAAAACTGACACAGAATCCTGTGCTTAATGTTTACATTTTATTTTGAAAGGACAATAAAAAGAGACAAATGAAATTACCAGGAAGGTAAGATTAGAGCTGTTGCTGTCAGTACGGGCTGACGGTCAATATAAGTCTTGTTCATGTATACAGGCTGTCAAATCTTTATTTAGGTTGCAGTGAGGAGTATACAGCCCTCCTTAAGATAATGAATACTCATCAGTCATTCAAAGCTGGAGTAGGTTAAGATGCCCCTGGTATTAAATATTCTTTGACCAGTTTATTTCAGAACAGACACCCCTCAAAAATAGGTGAATATTGAGTTTAACCAATGAAGATTGGAAGAACCAGTCCAAACTCTCTTAAAGTCAGAAAAAGAATCAGAAAGTTCTTATGATAAAAGTGACGCTGAAACAACCCACCCCTCACACAAAAATAGGGAAGAAGCCTATCAAGAAAACTGCAATGACTGTGAAATTACAAGGGTTACATCAGAGCTACAAGCTCAACGTTTTCCAGTTGTGTAAGTTAGAGCACTTTTGGCTCGTAGTCCGTGCTATTTTTTTATTTAGGCTAAAAGAAGTGACTGACAATCCAATTCTACCCGTGCACCTCTTGTACAGCTATACGATATTCCACCACATCCAGCACTGATTACCTGATAAACACTGTTATCTGCTCAAGAGGTCTCCACAAACAGCCCAGCTTGTTATTCATGAAGATGATACAAAGAGGAGTGATCTGGAAGCTTTTTACAGTGAAAGCCTTAACTATTTTACAGGATAGATATCCTCTGAAGGGCCCTCAGGTATCTCTGATAAAAATCTAGGGTTATTCCACCACATTTTATGCAAATCTAGGTTCAGAGTGTCTCTGTGCATCTTTTTTCAGAGCTACTTTGCCCTCACCAGACCTTCGCACAGGACCAAAGCAAGGAAGGGAGCCTGGTTTTATTCAGGAATTATCTAGCACTAATTCTATCCTAGAATAACCTTTACGGACATCAGTAGGAAACACATAAAACTCCTCTTTGGGTAAGATTTCCTTCCAGGCACCGAAGTTATCAAAACACTTCTAAAGATAAGCAGCTTCAGAAAGTTCAGGCTGACAACGCCCCTTTACGTTATACAAAGAGTTTATACAAGTATTTCAAGCTTTAAAACTTTATAAATGCAGACTTTTACATCAGTTAAGATGTACTCTTAAAAGACATTTGTAACCTACGACTGCTTCTGCGGAGAACAAAGATGCTTTGAGGATGAAGGTGAACGTAAATGTTACCAGAAAGCGGTGCAGGATGAGCATCGTGGTGGCATAGGTTTTTGTCTTGCTTTCTCAAATCGAGAAATGTGAGAAAGGAAATGAAAAATTAGAGCCATTTTGAGAAGGCCACAAGTTGCATATGACCGGTGGCTGTCACACTGAAAGCAGGAGATAATGGTAATTTGGGACAATACATGTTGCTGCTGAAAGGAAAAGTTCTCCACTTACGAAGATGTCAGCCTGAAGAATTACAGCAAAACTAGCCACTAACTCCAGAGACAGATTTTCAAGCACGGCTATAAATCACATTTTCAGTTTTTAGGGCAGTTTGGGTTTTTGGCTCCACGCTGTGCTGTCCCCCATGCCAAAATTAGAAGTGGCGGGCACAGCATCTTCCCTTTGGGAAGAGGCACAGAGGAGACACGTCCCCCTAGACGTCCTGCATGTGAACACTGTCGGGCTCTGGGTGGGTCTGGATTTTCAGAGAAAAAATAGAAAATAAAAAAAGAAGATCAGGAGGCAGAAAAGCAACACGAGTGCCTTGAGCTCACATGCCAAAGTGTCACAAAAAAGTCGTTGCAGAAAGAGGGTACGGTTCCCACAGAGGAAAATTTGAAGATGCAGGGGGAATCCACCACATCTCCAAAACTGTGTTCAGCGTGTTAATTGCCCAAACTGTTAGAAACACGTTTCTGATTTATTTTTAATTTGAATATATCTGGCCTTCGGTCCTTTTTATGCCTTTCTTTACTCGGTTGAAAAAGCCTTTAGTGCTCCGAATTTTCTTCCAGTGAAGGTACTCATATACCATAATCATATCTCTTCTTGATCTTCCTTTTGATATGCTAAATGCCTTCAGCTCCCTATACATTCCCTTGGAATGCATCTCCTACAGCCCTCAAATGACTTTTTTGTAACTTTTCTGATCCAGTGAAATTCTCTCGCATCCTTTTTAAAGTGTGGAAGCCAGAACTGTATGTAGTATTTTATTACCAGCATGTCTAAGAGGTAAAAATCACCTCCCCTCTCTAGTTCTAACAGAACCCGGAATGTAAGACCGCGTTGGCACCCTGGTGAAATATCCTTGCTAATGAATGAATTACAAAGGTAGCGACATGACTCTTAAAAGCCAGGTGGCCAGGCAAGGGAGAGACAGCGGATAGCAAGATCATTTTCTCACATGACAAAATAAAGCATAAAAGAGGAATTGGCACAATCCTAAGTGATAGGGACAGAAAAGCACCACTTGGCTACAACCCAGGCAACTTAATTATCATCATGACTTGTTCAGGAAGAAAGCCTTTCAACTCCACTGTGATCCAGGTCTATGCTGCTCCAAAGGATGCCAAGGAGAGGGAAACTGTGCGATTCTGCAATTAGAACTGAGCTGGACACACATCAGAAGCAGCGAGGCATGAACTGCTACAATTTGTGAGACTCCGTATCCTTTATGAGCAGACTACAATGTTCCAGTAAAACTGAGAAACGAATGGAGAGGGGAAATTCTGCAAAGCGCTGACAGAAAACGACACGGTGCAGAAAGGCAGGACTGCCAGCAATGAGAGGTTCTTGGAAGAACCAGAGAGCAGCCTTTTTTAAGCATAAAGATAATGAGAAAGAAATAAAGGGACAGAACCCACATGATGCTTGTGGCAGGCACTGGAGATACAGGAGAATCTCACCCGTCACGGAGCAATACCTGAACACGTGAAAGCACTTATGGCTTGCTAAAAGAAATTCTCTCCACGCCATGAAAGCCTGCTGATGGATTTAGAAATGAGCAATTAACATTCTCCTAAGCGTAGCTCTTCACCGTAAAACTGCACATTTACTTCTGAAATTGTGCAGATGGAGACAAGTCATAGAATCATTATGGTTAGAAAAGACCTTCAAAATCACCAGGTCCAACTGTTATCTAGCTCTGCCAGCCCCACGTCTAACCCATGTCCCTGAGCACCACATCCACACGTCTTCTAAATCCCTCCAGGGATGGGGACAACCCTTTTCAGTGAAGAAATTTTTCCTCGCATCCAGTCTGAACTTCTCCTGGTGCAACTTGAGACCATTTACTCTTCCTGCTCTTAGCTCACATGATGGAAGAAGTTTCCATATGCGTGAGACAGAGGGTCAGAAGAAGGATCCACAGACATAATCCAGCTCATTATGTAGCATTCTGTATTT